TTCTTTCTTTCTTTCTTTCTTTCTTTCTTTCTTTCTTTCTTTCTTTCCTTCCTTCCTTCCTTCCTTCCATCCATCCATCCATCCATCCATCCATCCATCCATCCATTATGAATAAGGATAGTCCTCAAGTTAAAATCATTCCTTTTAGCGACCGTTCAAAGTTACAACGGCATTGAAAAAAGTGATTTTTCACACTTAACAACCCTTGCAACATCCCCTTGGTCACGTGATCAAAATTCAGATGCTTGGCAACTTATGACAGTGGGGGGGTCACGGGATCCCCTTTCGCCACCTTCTGATGAGCCAATTCAACTGGGAAGCCAGATTCACTTAACAAGCACATTGCTTCCCTTAACAACAGTGGGAAAAGCAATGCTAAAAATGTGGCAAAATTCTCTTAACAACGATCTCAACTTAGCAACAGAAATTTTGGTGTCGGTTGCGGTCGTACGTCAAGGATGACTTGTCATGTTGTGGTCGTAAGTTGAAGATGACAGAGAAGAGGGGGTCAAGCTGTTTTCCAAGGCACCCGAAGGCTGGACAAGGAATAATGGATGGAAACTGACCAAGGAGAGATTCAACCTGGAAATAAGGAGGAATTTTCTGACAGTGAGAACAATCAACCCATGGAACAGAAGTTGCCTTTGGAAGTTGTGGGAGCTTCATCCCTGGAGGCTTTCAAGAAGAAGAATTGGACTGCCATCTGTCAGAAATGGTGTAGGGTCTCCTGCTTGGATGGAGGGTTGGACTAGATGACCTACAAGGTCCCTTCCAACTCAGTTAATCTTAATCTATGTAAGATTATCATTGGCCTGGAGACTAAAACATATGATGGTTGCAGGAACTGGGCCTGGCTGGTCTAGTGAAGAGAAGGACCAGGGGGGACAGGAGAGCATCTTCCAGTATTTGAGGGGCTGCCACAGAGAGGAGGAGGGGGTCAAGCTATTTTCCAAGGCGCCTGAAGGCCAGACAAGGAATCATGGATGGAAACTGATCAAGGAGAGATTCAACCTGAAAATAAGGAGGAATTTTCTGACAGTGAGAACAATCAACTGATAGAACAGAAGTTGCCTTTGGAAGTTGTAGGAGCTTCATCCCTGGAAGCTTTCAAGAGGGCTTTCACTGCCCTCTGTCAGAAATGGTGCTTGAGCAGAGGGGTTGGACTAGATGACCTACAAGGTCCCTTCCAACTCTGATTATCTGTAATCTGTAATGTTCAGAGGCCTGGAACTGTGTCAATTCCATTTTCCCCTTTTTAAAAGGGACTTTTGCTTTCTTGGAAATATTAGCTGTGCCCCAGCTGGATCCAGGTGAATTTCTTTTTAATTCGCCCCTTTTAATTGCCACCCTCGACGACTTGGTCTTGGCAGCCGTGCAGAACAGCTTTATCCCTTCTTTCATCTGGCATTTCTTTTTCTCCCTTTTCAACATCTCAGCCTCGCCTGCAGCCTTTGTGCCTAAGCGGAAGATGCCAACTGAAGGCTAATCAGGTTTGATTTGCTGAGCTCTTTAGGAATCAAGCCAGGTCAGCTAAATGCAGCCAGCTCCAGAGACGTTAATTCCTTCCACAAAAAGTTAAATGGATCTCCTCTGCTTCCTTGTTTTAATTTTAATTAAAAATAAAAGCAGAGTACATCAGTCTTCTTCCGCTCTCGGGAGTGGCTCAGAAATGGTCCAAATGCTGTAGCTAAGATGACTCACAAGGCTGCATCCCATGAATGGGTCACCCATGGAAGTTGTTATTTAATGTTTTATACACACACACACACACACACACACACGTTAATAGTGTTATAAGTTAAATTGGGAAATAAGAGTATAAGTAAATAGAATGGGGAAGTAATCGATATAGTTATAGACTTTGTCAATCAGTGTGAACACTGTTACAGAATCGTTGTAAAGAGTGGAAACTGTTTTTAAACATTGAAATGTTGAATAAATAAATAACATTAGGAAGTTGAGCCATATCAGGAAGGACAACCATAGCAACTCTTAAGAGGTGTGTGGACAACTCCCAGCATTCTTTGCTGGCTGGGGGATTCTGGGAGCTGAAGTTCAGGCCACAATTAATGTTACTGGTTATAATAACAGAAGCGTGAAAGTTTGTCTGAATTTTCCTTTGTCTTTCTTTTCTTAGACAAACAGAATCCAGGTGTGGTTATTTTACCTACCTGCCTGCCTACCTTTCCTTCCTATTGTCCTCCCTTCCCATTGTTCTTCCTTCCCTCCTTCCCATTGTCCTCCCTATCTCCCTCCTTCTATTGTCGTTCCTTCCTTCCCTCCCTCCCTCCTTCCATTGTCCTTCCTTTCTTCCATTCTCCTTCCTTCCTTCCCTCCCTCCCATTGTCCTCCTTCCACTGTTCTTCTTTTCTTCCACTGTCCTTCCTTCCTTCCTTCCTTCCTTCCTTCCTTCCTTCCTTCCTTCCTTCCTTCCTTCCTTCCCCCCCAACCTGGATTAAGCAGTTTCCTCTCTTTGCAGATCCTGCGATCATCCCTCAAGGCTACCTCAACCATCTTTCTCATCCTATGTGCTGTTGCCTGTGACGAGGGGTTTTTTGGGGTGGGGGGTGTCTCTGGAACCGGCAGCCCCCGTGCCAGCTTTTTTCTCTTTCTTTTCTGAACGGAGCAAGAACCCCGAGCCAATCACTAACTCTTCCTTGCCGCAGCCCTGGCACCTGCTGCCCACCTTCCCAAGATGGAGAGCCGTCCGGTTCCCCTGCAAGCCAAGCCAAACAAATCCCTGTCAAGTTTGCAAAGGGGAAGAAGGTCTTTCGGAGTGGCCTGATCACAGGGGTCAAACCTCAAGGGATCAAGGAGTGGTTTTTTTTTTAAAAAAAAAAATAGCAGGGCTGGGGGAGAAAGGAAAGGATGCGGTGGACCTCCGGCCTCCATCGCCTGAGCGGAGAAAGCCCCACCACCAGATCCTTTCCCAAACTGATGGGCAGGAGAGGCCAAACGAACAGCTGCAATGTATTTTAAGGTCATGTTACATTAATAGTGTGAATGATAACAGAGCCCCCCCCAAAGTCTTCTGTTCCCCTCCGGCCCTCCATTCCGAGACAGATGGGAAAGCTTCCTTCTGCAAAGCAAATTGAATACTTTTGACCTTTCCCGACTTCTCAGCTCATGAGAAAACGGCCCTTGGGAAAAACGCAACTCCGGGGCCGGGCTCACTCGGGCCAGGATTTACAGGCGAGGCCTTGGGGACGGGACACCAAAGGCAGGGAAACCCAAAACAAACTCTTGGCTTCGGAGGGCAAGGGGAGAGAGGATGCATTACACCCCCCCCCCCTCACCTCCTCCCCCCCTCCCCCCAGTCAGCCCTCCCGGACGTTTTCTGTCACAATGATGTAGAGCTAAAGTCATGGGCCGCCCGGGAGGAAGAGGGAAAGTTTGAGCCTTACAACAAAGGTTAGAATGATTTGTGCAGAGTTTGGTTCTGCTTGGAAGATTTGCATTCTGTCTCTCTTCCAAGGGGATTAATCACGATCTCTCTCTCTGTCTCTCTCTGCTTCTCTCTCTCTCTCTCTCTCTCTCTGTCTCTCTCTCTCTCTGTCTCTCTCTGCTTTTCTCTCTCTCTCTCTCGTTCTCTGTCTCTGTCTCTCTCTGCTTCTCTGTCTCTCTCTGCCTCTTTCATTCTTTCTCTCTCTCTCTCTCTCTTTCTATCTCTCTTTCTTTCATTCTGTCTCTGCCTCTCTCTTTCATTCTGTCTGGTTGTCTCTCTTTCAGTCCCTCTCTCTCTCCCCTTCCCCCTTTCTTTCTGACTCTCTCTGTCTCTCTTTTGTTCTCTCTCGTCTCTCTCTCTCTCTCTGCCTCTTTTATTCTTTTTCTCTGTCTCTGTCTGTATGTCTCTCTTTCTGTCTTTCTCTCTTGCGTTCTCTCTTTTTCTCTGCCTCTTTCATTCTTTCTCTCTCTCTCTTTTTGTCTCTGTCTGTCTCTTTCTTTCTGTCCCTCTGTCTGTCTGTCTCTCTCCCTCCCCTCTCTTTCTGTCTCTCTCTTTTGTTCTCTCTCGCTGCCTCTTTCATTCTCTTTCTCTGTCTCTTTCTTCATCTCTGTCTGTCTCTCTTTCTTTCTGTCTTTCTCTCTTTCATTCTCTTTCTCCGCCTCCCTCTTTCATTCTTTCTTTCTCTCTGTCTGCCTGTCTCTTTCTTTCTGTCCCCCCTTTCTCTCTGCATGTCTGTCTCTGTCTCCCTCTCCTTTTCTCTCTCTCTTAGTCAACCTCTCTCTTTTGCTCTTTCTCTCCCTCCCTCTTTCTCTCCCTCTCTCTCTTTTGTGCTCTCTCTCTGTCTCTTTATCTGTGTCTCTCTCAGTCCCTTCTCTTGCACCGAGAGTTAAAGATAATTTAGGTGCAGCCAAATACAGCCAAAAAAAAAAAA